ATCTATATACATATAATATATTAAATATGTACATATTTATATCTATATGTCTATAATAGATCTTTATAGGTTTATATGCTGTACTTTATCTAATATATTTGTATGAGTATTTATAGATAGAGATATGGTACCTTATCTATATCTATATATCGATATAGCTATATATTCAGATATTTAATCTTGGTTATTAATGCTTTTGTGTGAAAGTTCAGTAAGAACTATATATTGTAATATAACTGACTGTAGTAGATTTTCTCTATCCATATATTTCTATATCGATCTCTCAAGTTTTCTCCACTTCTAAAAATGTATATTTCATTCCTCTTTTTGACGCTTTCCACCCACTGTGCCATTGCGGACAAGGACATCCACCTGATTTGCCTCTTTTCATAGTCTGCGTTTACTTCATTTTTTTCACTTATAAATATATTTTTTTGCAGTTCTGGGTTTATCTCCCGATGTTTGAGCTTGTTTTGTGCGCGTAAAAACTGTCAATGGTCGCGATCTGTTTATATTTTTATTTTGTATTTTAATTTTTGGCTTTTGCTGCGAACATTTTTATGGCCTCATCTAGTTTACGCACAGCCGGGGACACGCCCTGGCCAAGGGAATGCAGGGCTTCGATCTGGTCGCTGGCCAGAACGAGTTTTTGCAGATTTGATGGGTGCACAGCGTGGATGCCTGACACCTGAGATCAACGTCTGGACCGGCCCCCTTTGATGGCTCTCTAAAAATATATGTACATATGTATACACACAGATGTATGTATGTCTCATTTATTGATGTTCAGCGAAATATGCACAATATGCATATTGATTAAGACGCGACGCTAACATTTTGGCCATTGACTCCGCCAGCGGAAGCAACAACAGCTAAAGAGCTAACACGTATTATCGCTATCCGAAATTCTGTATTCATAATGAGCCATTTGCATAAATCAACCAAGCACAGCCGAGTGCCCGAAACACAGTTCACAGATGTCAAGTGATAGGGGACAAGGATTTCGTCAAATAGATAGATAGATAGAAAGATAAACAAAGAAAGCATGGATAGATCATAACTCAGGATCTACAGGGATTGGGGCATTTGAAATATTGGGCATATGTAGAGATTTATGCTTAATATGCACAGATAGAGATTTAGATACGTTCATTCATTTATGATTTATATGCATTTATTCCTTATAAGAGAGATTATGATAAGGCTTTATATGATTATAGATATATTAGAGTTTATCTTCCGATCTCTTTTAGTTCAGCTGTTTCTTTTTTCTTAAGCCATGAGGCTTTTAAGTAGTAATGCCTTATTTTTGGATATATTCCTGATAATTAAAAACCAATATCAAAACTTCAAGAAAAGTCGAGTTTCTCAGGATCTGCTTGAGGTAACTAACTCAAATTGGGAATGTAAATTCGTTTTTAGTGCAAATTTCAGTTAAATCAAGCTTCAACTAGAGCAAACTCATAGTTCTTCACTTAAGTGCCACACACAGCGCACAAACTTCGAGATTCCCTTCGACTGGAGGGGGATTCCATCAAAGGAATCTGTGGGGCAGTCAGCGCCTTTTCAGTTGGCAGCTAAATTTTTGCGCTTGCTTTAACTTTTGGCATGCAATTAGGCTTGAACACTTGAATTTTAATTGGTGACGATGGAGCGTGTGCTACAGAAATCAATAAACAGCCAGACGAACTGGCTCTACCTCCGTCTCGCTCTCGCCCTCTCTCTCTCTCTGTCGGCCTCTCTTTCTCACTTTGTGTGTTTAATTGGGTGTGTTGCATGCTGCAATGCAGCAGCCACAAACAATGGGGCAGCTCCGTGCGGCAGTCGACAGGCAAATTGAAAGCGCAACCAACTAAGCGATTAACTGCCCCAAATTTGACGCCCTAGAAGCTGAGGTAAAAAAACAGGGGGAAATAATAATAAACAACTCGAGCGCTAAAGACTGCATAATAAGCGCTCCAAGGTAAATAGCTCAATCGAATTTATAGCCTTTGCTGTAGTGGAAGCTCAAGACTTGAGTCAAAGAAGATATGGAGATATATATGTGTATATGAATAGATATATGGATAAATTGCGATTCTATTTATCTATAGAACTGTATACTACCTAAGGCTGGATGCCCTAGTTAAATGGATGCCACAGTTCACAAAGCGATGCGACGGAGTTATACTTATATTGTTTCATGGGTTTGTGAAGAAATTGAATGGAATGGAAACAGTTGGCGTAATTGAGTTTCGTTGAAGAGCTTTGTACTAGATGGTTTTCTGTGGGGTAGTAGTGCCCTGAGGCCCTTAAGAATGCCCATAGCATAGCCAGAAACAAGTGAAGAGTTTGAAGAAAATCAGTTCTTCAAACGGTTCAGTAGTCTTGTTTCTTATGGATGGGTTGGTTGGTTCAAATAGGAATTGGTTATATTTTATTGGTGTTATAAAGAATTTTGTAATATTCTAGTTGACAAAGTCTGGTATGATGTTTATTTGTAAGTGTTTTCTATCTTGAGCTCCCCAAGTATGTCAATATTCCTATGACGAAATATATTATGATAGCTCAACTTTATTTCCACACAAGCCCATATTATATCCCTGCAAATTAATTGAATTCCTTTTATAGGGTATCCTGCAGTTGTGCTGGCGTGCTGCTTTTCGGCTGACCCCCACAGCGACAGTGTTTAAAATAATTGTACAGCAAATTAAAATTCACGAAATATATTTTTTTTTATTTGGGCGTTGAATGCCGGCAAAAAAATGGAAAATCAATTCAGAAATTAAGTTGTAATTTAAGCAAATTGCCAAAGGAGCTGCGTCTGCCTCTGTTGTTGCTGTCGTTGTTGTTGTTGTTGTTTAATTGTTGTTTTTCTTTTGGGCATGCGAAATTAATTTAATTTTTTTCTCTGTTGACTTTTGCGGTGCTCCGCTTTTTGTTTTTGGGTGTTGTGTAATTGACAGGTCCCAATTTTACATGTTGACCACAAAAAAAAAAAAAAAAAAGAGCCAAAGAAAAAACAATATAAATTACGATTTTTTTTTTAAAACTTGCGCAATCAGCTCAAAACGTGACAACAACAATAGCAACAACAACAACAGAGGTATAGCTCTTCAGAGTAGAGCTTATATGTAATATATTTAAAATATATTTAAAGTGGAGAATGAAGAGCAAAAATTCGTAAAAAGAGGCTGACCAAAAAAAGCAACAGCAAAAGAAGTTGGCACAAAAA